TTCTCCCATCACAACTTCGATCACACTGACTACTCTTTCTTTCTCCACTACACTTGCACCTCCTCTTGCCACTTCAACACAAACTCCAGCCTCCTCCTCCAAAAACTTTGAATTGTAAATTTGATCTCCGGTTAACGGCCATCCGATGATTGGCACACCAAACACCAAGCTCTCTAGCACTGAATTCCATCCACAATGGCTAAGGAAAGCCCCCACTGAAGAATTTGACAGTATTTCCACCTGAGGTGCCCATTTGTAGAGAAGAATACCTTGATTCTTTTCTCTCATTCTCTCTTCAAATCCTTGAGGTAGCCATTCTGGGTTAAAGTCGCCTTTTATGTCAAACCCAAGTGGTGGCCTAATGGCCCAGATGAACGGAACGCCGCTTGATTCCAAGCCCATTGCCAGATTCATCATCTGAGAGCAAGAGATTGTGTTCTGAGAACCGAATGAAACATACAAAACCGAAGCGTTTGGATTTGAATCCAGCCATTGGAATAAGCTTGCTTCAGTGGAATGAGATTCTGACAGGCGAAGCAATGGACCGACAGGCAAAACTGGAACCTGGCCGAGAAATTTACGAAGCATGGATAACCCTAGCGTCTCAAATTCCTCCGAAGTGTTTATTAACATCGCGTCTGATTTCTTGCAGTATGAGATTTGCCGTTGCACGAAAATGGACCAAGGGTCCGTTCCGTTGGCAGATAAAAGGTGTTTGGGGAGCTGTGATCGATGAATGTAGATATCTGGGAGTTCTGGCAGTGAAAATTCTATAGAGTTTGTTTTGGTGTGAGGCAGATTTTTCCACAGAGAGAAGTAAACTGAGCCTCCATAGGCTCCACAAGTGAGAAATACGGAATGGAATATATCGAATTTTCGAGCTACTTCTACTGTCCAACCTAAGAAATGATCTCCTATAATGCATAAAGGCGGGCATCCGTCTTTTCGGGTTATGTCGGTGATAAATTCGTCGAATTTAGGCTGGAGAGTTTCGGAAGCTCGAAGGAGATTAATTATGAGAGGAAATGGGAGTGAGGCAGTGGTCTCGGTCTCGGGTGGGAGGCCATGAGCAGAGCTATTGAATGGTAGGGATTTTAAATGGATGTTAGATTTCGGAGGGAGGGAGGACCTGAGTTTCTTGATGTTGAGGGGAGTGTTGATGAGGGTGATGGTGAATTTAGGGTTTTTTCGATGGATTTTCTCTGCTAACAAGAGGAATGGTGAGATATGGCCTTGAGCCATGAAAGGGAAGAGGATGATATGATGTTTTCTCACTTCCATCACCATTGTGAATCTCACGGTATCCCACTTCCTTCTTCAAATTTTGTATTGTGAACTGCAGGAATCCGAGGAGAGATCTTCGGCCTATATATAGGTAGATGTCTAGAGCTTGCTTGCCAAGCTGTAGAAAGAGAGAGAGAGAGAGTTTGTAGTTGTGCAAGAAATCACCTTCTAGTTATATCGATGAACACTGCATGTACTACACTACGAATAGTGCAAAATTTGAACTTTTTATCGGTTTATCCATCACGGCACTCTTTTTATTTATGATCAATGCAGACTAGCTACCTGCAGAGGGACGCATCGTGCATGTCACACTCCTAGGTGACAGCAAAGTGATCTGTTATTAGAAAGCTTTTCAGGTGAAACTATGCACGTACAAGTTTAGTTTGCTTGATTGTGGGCAACAGAGTTTGCAATAATTTATTTGGACGGTGACCCTGGCTTAAATTTCGAGTGTTTTTTAGGGGAAACAATATCTAAGCGTGATTTCGACAGGTTTTCAATTAGAAATTTGCCACCTGCTCTGGGGATCATTTTTTGAGCCGGTTGATCTCATCAGGTATCCAGCTGCCAGCATAAATAACCAAAAGCAACACTTTTTCCAGAAACCATGTTGAGATTTCTTACATCTTTCTTTATTCTAGAATTCGAGTTGCAGGTTAACTTTATACGCACTCAATGCCCTTCTTGGATTTGATCGCAGGAAGTTCCCTGCAAGTTATCATTAAAATTCCGACGAGGTCTCCTTTCATTGAAGAAGAAAGCCTAGGTGAATCATCAGACTAACAGTAAACGGAGGAGGAGCAGGTGAGGTTTTATTAATTTAAAAATAGTTTCTGGAAGCAAAGGTTGGAGTCGCATCCTTTTACCAATTTTTGCGAAGAATATGCTTTTGTACTTTCCCGTTTCACATGAATCTATGAGCTTGCTAGGCAGCTCGCTCACCCAATAATTTGGGCAAGTCCGCTCACTTTTCATGTTTGCTATATCCACTCCCAAATAGTAACTCTGGGAGTTTGATTGCCGAAAATGCCCTTTTGGACTTAGCCTGGTTTGGTTTGGGAGAAAGTCAATTTAGTCCTCACACACCCCCTCCCCAAAGTTACTGTTTAGGAGTGTGAATAGTTGGACCCAAGGACACTTGCCCAGGTTATCTTTGGACCGACCCTAACTTGGTTCAATCCTAGCCCGGTTAAGATCTTAGCAGGATTAGCGACAAGTTGCACTTTGGGCTCCGCTTCCTTTGTGATATTCCTGCGGAGCAATTCATCTCTAACAAAGGCTCTCTGTTTCATTGCAGGTGGAGATGGTACTATTACTATAATTTTTAAAGTAATTGGGACGAGATGTCCGGGACGAGATGAGAACTTTATTAATTAGAGGAAATAGATACAAAATATTCATAAAGAGAATGATATGCATAAGAGGGGTGTTAGGGACACACCCTTGGACACACCACCAACCACACTCCCCCTCTATCTACAGTGCAGGGGCCCCACATGTGATTTTTTAAAAAATCTCAAATGGGACCCCCCTACACTGTAGCAGGTGAGGGGTGTGGTTGGGAGTGTGTCCCAAGGTGTGCCCCTAGTGTTTTTTTTCTTGAATAACGTGTCACGCTGCTCAGCTGCAGACTGTAGCAATTCGAAATTAGAGTTCAAATTGCACACTGTCAATTGAATTCTAATCAATTGGTTCACTTTGTATGTACTTACAGTTATTTGATTATTTGGATTATTATACCCGGTACATGAATAAGCGCAGAGAATATGGAAGTACATACGAACAAACTCCTAAATGATTTCTATCTTGATTCTCAGAAATGCTCCCTTTGTGGACAGCTTATTTTTCATATAAATCAGGAATATGCAAAACATTTTCCGTATAGCAAATATACTGCACACTTATAGAACAGTCCATCTCTCCATCATAATAACTTTTACAACTTTTATATAAGATTAGGGATACATAATCAACATCAAATCAGAAGAAAAAAATCATTAACATTACGTCACCAAGTGATGTTAGATTACAAGTTTCAATCAGAGAAACAGACGTGTGTAAAAGCTAACAAAATTGTACGAGGCCAAGATGCTTGTGGCTTCACATCAGCTTGATTAGTCCCAGATGCATCGACTTGATCGATAAGTATCGTCAGCCAGCATTTGCGCAATCGCCTTTGCTAGCCTAGTTGCTCCAGGCCCAGGCCTTAAAACATGAGTGGCTCCCCGAACTGTACACCTATCTTCGCTATCTCCACCTAAACACCAGCCACCTGGAATTATTTTACCCGGGTCACGATTCAAAATCTCTCGATCAATATGGTCGAGGACCACTGTAGCATCCTTGGAGAACCCAGTGCCAAAGGCTGCACCGCTACTTTTTGTCATATTATCAAAATCAAGGAGAGTCAGTATCTTCGGTTCTCGCTTTGAGGGCGTATCCCATTTTATATAATGAAGGTGGTTGTTGATGATAGTTCGGTTGAATTCAGGTGAGTTGCACAGGAGAGTTTGGAAGTAGGTCGTGTGTGATGAAACTGTGTTTGCGTAGTACATGAGAAGGATTCTTGGGAGATTATCGACGCCTAGGATGCAGTGTTCGATGAATTTTCGGCTGAGAATGACAGAAGGGAAACCTGCAAAAGAACGAGAATTACAACCTTGCAACATTCAATAGTTTTAACTTGGGTTAATTGTGGATAGACTCCTTGTAGTATCTCGGTTTTGAACTTGCTACCCCTCTTGTTTTATTGTTACAGATACAGATAGGACTCCCAGAGTGAATTTTTTGCAACTCCTTTATGCTCAGAGAAAGAGAGAATTGTTTTTTGACAAATAAACTCCCTGAGGTATAAGAGTCAATACGGCAATAGAGTCTATCCGCAATTACCCCTAGTTTAAATGGGGGTGTAGCTACTTATACCTAAAACTTTTTGTTAGCATTTACGCACCAAGGAAAGAAATAATTGTTAGGAATAAGCATTCTCATATTATTGCAAGTGAACAGTAGCATCTAGCTATTTTCAAAACCTTTAACAGGAAAGAATTTGAGGGGGAAAACAGAGTGCTAAAACGAGAATAACCTCTTGTTACCAACCTGTGAATAACTTATAAGCATTTGGTAGATCTCGCTTTTGTGTTGCATAAAACATGTCAGCCTTGGATGAAAGGTAAAGACCAGGATCAACAATGATTGGTTTTAGCTTTCGAGATCTGCAGTATTAAGCAAATTTTACGATATCAAGGACAATAAATATTAAGCATGCCATCCAAAAAGATAAAGAAAGAAAAATCAAAGAATTGAGGTGGTGTTGACTGTACTCTCTCCATCCAAGATAACTGCTATGCTGAACAAAGTTGAGGTCTCTTGGTAGGAAAGAGAAAACATGAAGAAGGTCTGCAGAGAAAAGAAATTGAACTTGAGTCAAACAGTTCAATGGAAACTACCTGCATAATATTTCTAGCAAAATGCCAACAGCAAAATAAAAGACTAGCGACTATATATGATCATATCATTGAACAACGGAACTTTTCTCTAAGTGCTTAATATATGAAATTCATGTCACCAAGTATTCAAGGCCATATGCAGAGAAGGAATCAACTTTGCTCGATTGAGTTTTCAAGCAAATTATCATTGCTAGCACCATGGTTTTAGAATCCCCTTAATAGTATCAAAACGAGATACAAACTCTATCGAGAGGGGATCATCTAACTTTCTTGACAAGCTAATCCCTATCACATTGTCAGTACAACCAACATGAATGAAGTTGAGAAGTTTATGAAGTTACCCATCTTGAGTAGCTTGTACAAGGTTTTTGGATGATAAAGCTCATCAATAAAACAAATGAGCTAAAAGAAGAGAAAAGGTCTAGTAATCGACACCAGCAGCTTTGCGATTATTTCTTCTTCTGAACAAATGTATTCAATAGGAGAATCTCCAAAATTTTGAAGTCCTGTATAACCAAAGTTTCACCACATTTACGAATTACGGCATTGCAAATTGAAAGAATGAACTGTGAATCTTTTTCTTCTGATAAAATATAGATCCTTGTCAATAATGTTTCCAAAATGTTCATTCACAAGCTATTGATATTTAGCCCACATGAACCATTTAGTTACCATCCAACCAGGAGTTAACCTCTCTATTTTGATTCCAATAAAATGTAGTCATACATCTCTTTAAAGCAAAGTCAATAACCTAATCCTATTGGACAAACAAAAGCAAAGGGTTTGATGAATCAGAACATCCCAAAGCCATGAACTTTTCTAATGCCTACGCAAGCTCAGTTGAAGTATAAAGATGAATGCTTAATAGCAATCACCACTAGAAGGCATTGAGCAAAAGGGAGTACTAAAACAGTGAAGTTCCAAAGTGGTGACTGTGATGCATGATACTTAATAACTAGTGTTTAACTTTTCTGATTAGCAAAGGTAAAAATCTGTAAGGGTCTCTTGGCATTATCAACTTAAGCTTAAATCCAAATAATTATCCTCATATTACCAATTGCAGAAATCACTCACATTCATAGCTAATAAGTACCTAACAACATTCACTTCATCCTATTCATTCTTTAAGGTTAGAAAGAGTTGGTTTTCATCTTTAGGTAGACTTGCATATGTCCGATGAGCAGCCCAAGGAGCACCAACCATAGGATGGAGATGACAATGGCAAATATTTCGCTAAATGAAAAAAGAACAGGAAAATTTTTCAGGTACAGAGGCATTCTAGATTGTACAAATTAAAAAAGAAAAAATGGCAAGCTTATTTATCAATATGGTTTTGATTTATTTTTCTAGCAAGGGTTTTATCTTGCACATAAAACAGAGGAAAAGATTCAATCAACTCTTTCCAGGGATAATAGGCCGAAATGTTTAGAAATAGATAGTAAGGAAGCCTGTAAGTTTTTAATGTTATTACTGCTAAGCTATTGAGTTCTAACAGAATCACTTGAAGTTCGGAGCTGGTTCTAAGAGTTTCTCTTTGGTCGTTTGTGCCAAAGTACATTCATCTAGAGGTTTTCATTTCTTTTTCTATTCTTCTTCGTCTTCTTTTTCTATTCCACACAGGACGACATTTATGATTTGTCAAAAATGGGAAAAAAAAATCATGGGCGATGGTCCACAAAAAATCGAGAATTTTGTAGTATAAGCATAGAATATACTAGAAGGGACGTCAACTTGTGATTTGGTCAAAAACAACAACAATTGTGAGTTATAGTTCACAAAAATTCAAAACTTTAGAGTACGCATAAGTACTGTATACAGAAC